TGCCCCACCGTGTCCAGGCACCACTTTCACGGGGACAGGCACTTTTTCAGATCGGTTCGCCTGAGCGATACGCGTGCGAGAACCGGACAACAATTGTCTGGGACGCCCTCTCAAGAAGTCAAAATTGTAAACAGCGGGCAGGGCTTCTTCCATGCCCAGCCATGGTTCCAGACCGACAGAAGGTTTCCCACCTTACCCGACTGGTATCGAAATCTGGCCTCCTCAACCTACCCTCACCCCTAGCCTCCTGGGGCCTGGCAGGGGAAGGGAGCCTGCCCCGGGCCACCCGCACCCCCAGTGGTGACCCCCCTGTCCTTCAGGGCCCCATCCTCCATCCGGGGGATGTCAGGGCCCCGCTGTCATTACCTGTGCCATACCCCCTCCCTACGGACTTTTTCACCCCCACTGGGCTACCTGTTTGATCCTGCCAGTAGCATATGCTTGTCTCAAAGATTAAGCCATGCACGTGTATGTACGCATGGCCGCTACAGTGAAACTGTGAATGGCTCATTAAATGAGTTATGGTTCCTTTGATCGCTCCATCTGTTACTTGGATAACTGTGGTAATTCTAGAGCTAATACATGCCGACGAGTGCTGACCACCAGGGATACGTGCATTTATCAGACCAAAACCCATCCGGGTTATGCTATTGCCTCTAGTTCCCCCATTTTGATATTTAGGCTCTTTGCATTAGTAAGCATACACTTAATATTATCATGAGTCACTTGTACTTTTTGTAAATGATCAACATTACATTCCTTCTCTGTTCTGAGCTTGCCCCTCCCCCTGTCTCCATCCCCTTTATACTGAGCTCCTTTCTGTACTCTCCATTTTGTAGATTGCTATGACCCCCCCCACTACCTGTTTAAAATCTCCTCCAACCTTCTAGCCCTCCTATTCCCCAGCACTGCAGACCCTCTCCTGTTTAGGTGCAACCCATCACTGATATAAAGGTTGTACCCAAGCGCAAAGTGAAACTGCGAACATTTGAGTCTGTGTGCAGAGAACTACCTCCATTTACTATATATATATATATATTCTCACTCTATTTCCCACTGCAGCTAAGGAGAGAGAGACGTAGAAGGGAACCATGTCCTTACTACCTGGCGTCTAGGATTTGGGGGTCAGGAGATCTGTATGCCGATAAGCACAATTTTAATTTCTGTCCTTCTTGGCACTATGCCTGTTAATAGACAGCAGGAGCAAACATTTGACTTCACACCCAGGAATGTTGAATGTCCTCACGTCGGACAAGATGTCCATGAGACAAGCGTCAATCTCCAACTTTCTTGCCTTCAGGACTCCTTCAACCTGCTTAAATGGTGCTTCTAGTAATTATCATTGTTACCTCTCTGGTAATAAAGTATGAGAAGTGTTATAGCAGTCCATGTGATCTGAATTGAGGACAGTTGGTAGATGCATGATCTGCAGTTAGAAACGTTCCACATATTTTGGAAAGCATAAAAAAAAATGCAGACATTGCAATATGGAAAAGCATGTCTGTTGTTTTCAGAAAAGTCCACTGGCAAGAAATTGCATTGCTTACTGTTTCCAGTGAACTCCTGAGAAAATGATATCTAGAAAAACCTGATTTACAAACAGAACACATGAAATACTGTTTTCGAGCTGTGAACCATAAAAATATGAAGAAGAATATTTTGCACAAGTATGATTACAGATCTCTGGTGGCAAACGTTCGGCTCCCAATATTCCAAAGTAATTATGATTTGCAGGAGAGATCTGGTAACCCTTTTCCACCTTATGAAGTTTTGTTTGATTGATAGACCTGGCTTCATTAATTATTCTACAGGCAAATCACAGTTGCATTATGAAATGTGTGTCTCAATGTAGATTACTAATTAGAGACTCATTTTGTAAAGATTTCTATTTCTGTTTTCATAGCAAATATTTTAAATGATGCTGCAAACTCTTAAACGGTTTCTGGTACTGCAGGAAACAAGACTGTACTATTGATGGGTCAAATGTTCTGTCTGTAACCTTGCAGCCACACCTGTAGTAACATACATGGCTTCATTACCCTACCAATATCTCCACTGACACGTTGTGCAGACTCTTTCTAGGTCCCTTAATAGTGTGCTGCTGGAGTCAGAAATTGGTTTATTATATGCAAGAGAGTATATGAGGTGGTAGGCCTCCCAGCAGTCTGTGGCCTTGATTAAATATTTTTGAAAAAGCTTTTCAAATGATCACAATATGTTTAAAAAAAAAAAAAAAACATTCAAATGATTTGGATGCTGTAATAAATATGTAAATGGTTATGGTGAGGCAGCGCCGGCCCAGCCCGTTCATAGACCGCTCTGGAGCCACAGCTCCAGGCAGTACTCTGACAGGGGCGTCATAGGTTAGGAACCTGTGTGAGGGTCAGTCGGGTAGCTGTATTTGTTATAATATATTTTGTGCATTCTTCACACATAAACATGATATTATCAGTATTATATACATTTTACTGCTCTAAAACACTAATATTTGTGTAGAGTAATGTCTCACGAGTACAGTGGTACCCCTCAATTACAGGTTTTATGGTGGTTTGGAAGGTTACAGGGTCAAACATAAGATTTGCCATATTTATGTTCACCGAGTATAACAATACCACCCATGTACAGGTTTTATGGTGTTTTGGAAAGTTACAGGGTCAATATACGGCTTGCCAATTAAATTATCTGGACTGTCTGCCTGTGTTGTCAGGCAGGTCCCTCAATTTATAATTAATAAAATCATATAGTTACGTAGTTTATAGTTAAATATATATGTATAATGTGCGTGTGTGTTTATATATATATATATATATATATATATATATATATGTGTGTATATAATACGTGTGTGTGTGTGTGTGTGTGTGTATATATATATATACACAAACTTTTATATCCTATATATGTATAACATATTAATTAAAGCATTTTATAATATATTATGTGTATATTTGATTTCATTATAAGTGTATTTTGACATGTGTATATATCTCAAAGTACACTTATAGTGAAATCATATATATATATATATATATATATATATATATATATATATGTACCATATATATATATATATACACATTATAAAACGTTTTATTTATTTTATAATCCATTATATATATTGAGCATATATATATATATATATATATATATATATATATATATATATAATATATGTATAATATATTTATTTTATCTTTTTTTGACAGCTCAGACAGTCCCCCTGCTGGCAGTTCCATAGACTCCTATTGCGGTCATGTGATCATGGCATGACAACCCACATTCAGCGATGTACATACCGGGGTCGCAGGGAGCCCTGTGACCCGGTATGTACTAACTGTGGCCCCCCGAGGCTCCGGCATCAGTATGCGGCGCGCGGGAGCTGAAGAGGAAGCACTCAGCCAGGGAGAGGTGCTCGCTCGCGCGCCCGCAGGACCGACCGCCGGGTGACACCACTGGACCCCAGGGAATCCCCTCAGCACTCCTACAGGTAGGGAGGCTGGGGGATGAAATTAAAAAAAAAAGTGTGTGGAAGGAAATTGGAGGGGAGAAGAAGGAAACTGAGGGGAGAAGAAGATAACTGAGGGGGGAGAGAAGATAATTGAGGGGGGGGAGAAGAAGATAATTGAGGGGGGGACAAAAGAAACCGAGGGGAGAAGAAGATACACCCTTGAGGAGGTATAAGAACGAAGTTGAGAGGAGAAGGAAATAAGAGGGAGGGGAGAAGAATGAACAAGAGGGAGGGGGAAAGAAGGAAATTGAGGGGAGGGGAGAAGAAGGAAGCTGAGAGGGGGGAGAAGAAGGAAGCTGGAGGGGAGAAGAAGGAAGTTGGAGAGGGGAGGAGAAGGAAACTGACGGAGGGGGAGAAGAAGGAAATTGAGAGGGAGGGGAGAAGAAGGAAACGGAGAGGGAGGGGCAGAAGAAGGAAATTGAGGGGGAGAAGAAGTAAACCGGAGAGGGGAGAAGGGAAGAAACCAACGGAGAGGAAAGGCAACCAAAAAAAAAAAGAGAGGGAGGGGGAGAAGGAAATTGGAGGGGGGAGAAGGAAATTGACGGGGGGAGGCGGAGAAGGAAATTGATATCCATCACACAAACACACAATGCACCCCTTTCACACAGAAAAACACACAATGCATTGCACACAGACACACATACACAAGCAATTCATCCCTTACACACAGCAACACACAATGCACCCCTTATATATATATGTATACAATATTATAAAATGCTTTATTTATTTTATAATATATTATATATATATATATAATATATGTATAATATATTTATTTTATCTTTTTTTGACAGCTCAGACAGTCCCCCTGCTGGCAGCTCCATAGACTCCTATTGCGGTCATGTGATCATGGCATGACAACCCACATTCAGCGATGTACATACCGGGGTCGCAGGGAGCCCTGTGACCCGGTATGTACTAACTGTGGCCAGCCTCTTCTCCTGGGGGGCCCAGCAGCCGGTCACCTCAGGGCCACCCGAGGCTCCGGCATCAGTACGCGGCGCGCGGGAGCTGAAGAGGAAGCACTCAGCCAGGGAGAGGTGCTCGCTCGCGCGCCCGCAGGACCGACCGCCGGGTGACACCACTGGACCCCAGGGAATCCCCTCAGCACTCCTACAGGTAGGGAGGCTGGGGGATGAAATTAAAAGGTGTGGATGAAACTGGGAGGGGAGAAGAAGGAAACTGGGAGAAGAAGATAACTGAGTGGGGAGAAGAAGCCCAGAAGTTGAGGGGAGAAGAAGGAAGCTGAGGGGAGAAGAAGGAAGCTGGAGGTGGAGAAGGAAACGAGAGGGGGCCAGAAGAAGGAAACTGAGGGGAGAAGAAGGAAACTGGAGGAGGAGAAGAAGGAAACTGGAGAGGGAGAAAAGGAAACTAGGAGGAGGAAGAAGAAGGAAACTGAGAGAGGGGGAGAAGAAGGAAATTGGAGATGGGGGAAAAGAAGGAAATTGGAGAGGATGGGGAGAAGAAGGAAATTGGAGGGGAGGGAGAAGGAAATTGGAGGGGAGAAGAAGGAAATTGGAGAGGGGGTAGAAGAAGGAAATTGGAGATGGGGGAGAAGAAGGAAATTGGAGAGGTGGGGAGAAGAAGGAAATTGATGGGGGGGAGAAGAAGGAAATTTGAGGGGGGAGAAGAAGGAAATTGAGAGGAGGGGGAGAAGAAGGAAATTGAGAGGAGGGGAGAAGGAAATTGAGGGAGGAGAAGAAGGAAATTGAGGGGAGGGGAGAAGAAGGAAATTGAGGGGAGGGGAGAAGAAGGAAACTGAGAGGAGGGGGGGAGAAGAAGGAAGTTGGAGAGGGGAGAAGAAGGAAGGTGGAGGGGGAGAAGAAGGAAATTGAGAGGGGGAGGAGAAGGAAATTGAGAGGGGAGAAGAAGGAAATTGAGGAGGGAGGGGAGAAGAAGGAAATTGAGGGGGGAGAAGAAGGAAATTGAGGGGGGAGAACAAGGAAATTTGAGGGGGGGAGAAGAAGGAAATTGGAGAGGGAGGGGGAGAAGAAGGAAATTGGAGAGGGAGGGGGAGAAGGAAATTGGAGGGGGGAGGCGGAGAAGGAAATTGATATCCATCACACAAACACACAATGCACCCCTTTCACACAGAAAAACACACAATGCATTGCACACAGACACACATACACAAGCAATTCATCCCTTACACACAGCAACACACAATGCACCCCTTACACATACTCAATGCATCCCTTACAGACGCACACA